AACACAAGGGCTAAAGGGTCGCTCTTTGGTCCGGCTCTAAATTCCATTGCGTTGTAGAAAGGAGTAATGAACACGATGAAGTTTTCGTAGTATACTGGTAATCTTCAGGCAAATACAAGTTCTAGGGGTTCTAGCCCTAATACACCGCGAAATCACAACGGATAGCAAATGGTACGGGAACTAACCGCACCGAGATGCCGACAACGAACCGCAGAGACTAGGGGTTCTAGCCCTAATACACTGCCTAATCTCAAAAACGTACAGCAAATGGTACGGGAACTAACCGCACCGAGATGCCGACAACGAACCGCAGTTCCACTGTATATCTGTACTGTATACCTATACTGTGTATGTTAATATCCGTACTGTATTAGCACTCTATATATTCTATATATATTAGTACTCTATATCTACGCAAGCTTCACTAAAACAATTCTGCACTAATATAACTGCACTGTTCTGCACTAATAAATAAAAAATGTATTCGCATTGAATCTATATTCTGGTGAACATTCTTAACTTCGACCACATTGGAACAAAATTTTTTACTATGGTTAAGGAGGCGTATCCTTTACCAATTGATGACTGAGTCGAATATAGAAGATAATTTCACGGCTATTTCTACAATTACCCTTCACCTTAACCATTTTTATCCTGGTCTCTAGTAAGTAAAATTTCCATCGATTTCTTTACCTCGATCATCCTCCTCTTTCATTTCGAACAAGGCACGACCATCACCACCTCCACTCAGAGTTAGATCGTGCTTGGCTCACTTATTTATATATCCCACTCTATCCAAAATTAGTTCTGAGGGGAATTGTTGCATTAAAATTAGCATCAACGGATCAAAATTAATTGCAACGAACGTTGAATCCTTGAATTGATTTTTACTGTCCTTTCATACCTATCTTTCAGAAGAACATAATAACTACTCTGGAACGTCTTCGATAAGTTGTCAATCCGATTTTGTGATGCATAGATAACTATAGCCCTTAATTTCTTTTTTTGGTACTCAATGGGACACTCCATTGAAGGAATTCGATCCATTATTTATAATCCATGTTTTATCATGTTTGAAATAAAAATTAATATCATCTTATTTTATTAAATTTCCTCCAATGCAAAAACAATTTACGGGAGACGAAAGAAAATTAAATTGAATCTGAGTAATAATCTGGATGCGACTGCACTCAAGGTATTAATTAGTTCCAATCTGAAGTTCATTGTTATTAGCTTAAATTATTATGCATGCTTCATAAATTTTAATACTTTAGTTCAAGCGTGCGCTCTTTTTTTAATAATATACGTGTAAGGACTATTTCTAACAAAATAGCGGGTTTTCCATAATGAAGTGTCAAGACCGAAGGTTACCTCGAAGGTGGTAGTGTGTGCGACGTGTTAGTTAGCCTTCTGCCTATTCAGATGCGTGTCCCGTATGTTAATTTCAACCTATTATTCAACTGTGCTGTAAATAAACTTTATTTGAATAAATGCTTGTGGGAACAAGTCTTCATTAATACTCCGACGAAAACTCTTTATAAACTGACTTGGTGAAGAACCCTATCAAGTTATTACAATACGCTTAAAAATTACTTTTTAGTGAAAACACTTCTAAAGAATCCAGTGTCTCCAATGTTAAAGATGTACAATGAATTTCTCATTTTATTTTCGAATAATAAAAAAATTAATTTTTCACTTTTTCTGATATATGAATTTTTTCCAAAAGTATTTATTCTGTCAATTGATTCAAGCATTGCCTCCGACTTCACACAAGTGTGCAAAATTTCAGATTAATTGGACAGGTGAAAGTGTGTCAAATATCAATTATAAGATTTGTAGCTGATAAAATTATTTTTTAATTTTTTAATATTGGGGGAAAAAATTGTATTCCTAAAATTATTTATTCAGTGATTTGATTCATGCATTGTCTCCAACTTTACGCAAGTGTGCAAAATTTCGGATTGATAGGATAAGTAGAAGTGTATTAAATTTCGATTACAAGATTTGTAGCAGACAGACAAACAGACAAAAAGTGAAGTTAAAGAGAAGTGTTGTAAAAAGTGATTACCACCATTCAACTTTATTTTTTCATGATCTTGACTCTTGAGCGCAAGCGAACAGTTATTTAGTCACCTCTTGTGTTTACAGAATTATCCGATTCGATCTGTTAAGCAGATTCTAATATTAAAAAGAAGTTAATCTAATAGAACATTAACTATTAGTTGGCACCCTCTACAATTTATATTATGCTTGAACGCTTTGGAAAAATGAGTTGAATTCATTGTGTAAATCACTATTTAGATAGTCAATTTATTGCACTAAAGCGGACAAGCATCGCCCCAATCAAAATTTTGATTCCTGTCAGCCGCTGGCCCATGGACGCCCCAAGCTCGCTTAGAGCGTGAATTAGCGGCTCTAAGTCCGCTTTAGGTTTTGGTTGTACGAGGAATATAAGCACCTGATTAGAATCCGGTCTATTCCTTGACAACCGTGGAGGCGAGTGTGGGGCGTGCGTATTTGGCGCCTGATACCTTCGGGAGAGACACGGCCGAATCTGAGAAATGCATTGAAAATAAATATTAAAAAAAAATATGAAATATTATAATAAAATGCGTTCCCCCATATATGGGGAAAAGCAGGGGGCATTTGTATCTCTGTATAGGTACTATATATATGCAGTCTTGTACTACTCGCTTAGTTTTAAGATCAGAGCTCAGTCTATCAGAGGCTCAATTTCCTTGCATAGACGTTTACAACTAGTAAGTAAGTTGACATGACGTGATTTAAAAAATTCAATCGATAAATATATATATAACTGTTTCGAGGGAATGTAAGTCCAGCAAATTTTTCCTATTCATCCATGTATTTTGCCGAATGATCAATGTTGTGTTTAAATTAATATTTGAATTATTTGCCGTAGCATGTCATTTAACTCTCGTCACATTAAATTTCTATCGAGCAAACAGTTCTGCATGGGCCTCAAAATTCTGCGTCCCTTGATGAAAGAAAAACTACACAATCGAATGGAGAAGCACATATTAATCTTAACAAAATCGAGTTACGACAGTAACTTGTTTGCAGTTTTCAGTTGTTCAGACTTCATAGCAAATAAGGATCTTTTCGCAACCACCGTCGGCTGCTTCATTGGCAGTATTGAGTTTCGCACGTAGTTCTTATCAAGCATGAGTTAACAACTGCACTCAAATTTTCTGGTGAGACAATCAATAAATAGCGTAATATACGATAGTTATGGAAATCCTCAAATCAAAAATGTTGCTCACAGATGGGCTCTTTGTAACCGATAGTTCATAGGCTATCTTCTGCTTGAGCAATAAGCTAAAGCATGCAGACATATGACCAAAGCTCAACAGGTTTCATGTTGAAGAAACCATTCGTCTAGCAAATAATTTTACCGGGGTCAGGAAATATTGCATGCATCTGCCGAAAAACGAAGAATAGAAGAAGTTATAACGTCTAATTCAGTGATCATTCCAATATTGCTTAGCTCGATGGAAATTTCATGAATCTATCGTCGTATAATTTGTAGTTCATCAGAAATAACCCAATTTATCCTTATACTTGAATGTAACTCCGTCATGAAACCTGATGATACAACGAAATAGAGCAGATAGTAACTGAACATAAGCTACTAACTTACTTGCAAATAAGCGGATTACGCTTTGCAACCTGTTCCATCGTGTTCAGATATTACATCATTTATGACAAAGGTTTGATTCGGAATGTTTTCGCCAAGAATATTCTTGCGTGAAATAAGGAATTGACTTCACGTGATGATTTTGAAACCTTCGGCGTGCAATACCTTCACCACCTCGTGTCGCTATTTTTCTCTAGCCTAATCTATAACCTTTTACATAGGAAAGATACCGTGACCACTTTATTAGCAATGTGTACTTCAACCCAAAATAACAATCTGACAGTATAAGCAAATCTACCATAAATAATTGAATTTCACTATCGAAGCCACCGATAGAAAGACGAATTTTTACTCGTACCGCTCTGCCTAATAGAGGATACTTTTTTGGGCAAACAAATTTCCCGTAAAGCACATATTTCATTTCAAGCAAGACATTGTAAAGATTAGTAGAAAAGAAGCTCAGCGCCGAAGCGTCAACCTAACAGGTATGAACGTATACTAACTCGATTCGCTCGAAGGTACGAACGTGTGCTCGACTCGCTCGCTGAGCTTGGGCATGCGAAATAGGGGTGTTGGCATGCGAAATACGGGTGTTGGCATTCGAAATAGGGGTGTTGGCATGCGAAATAGGGGTGTTGGCATGCGAAATTTACTTTAGCTGTGTGAAGTGGTGATGCCACGCATGAGTGCTGTTACTTTAGCTGTGTGAAGTGGTTACCATTATTGCTGGTCACATAATAATCTTATCTCTGTTGAAATTGCACTTGGCTGCATTTAAATATTAAGTATACAGACTCAACTCACATTTGTTGTCGTCTTAAAATTATTGTCTAAGCAATTTGCCTCACTTGCCGCCCTGGCGGTACTTAGATTTGCGTTGGGGTTAAAATAATTTGCAACATACAAAGTAAATTCTTAAGAAGTTCCTCATTTTTTGGTTGAAAATGATGTCTTTTCAGTGGAATTCTTTAACTGAAGTGCCAGTAGAGGAGCTATATAAATCACAATTGGGTCGCTTGCTAGTCGTCTTGTCAGTAACTGTGTCCGTACGTAATTGCCACTATGGCGAGAGTGGCCGTAGCTTATTTTAGCCATTCAAGAATATTATGCTCGTTATGCCTATTTTAGGAGAGGTTAAGCCCCTCAATAATTTTATGTACGTTTGTGAGACATTATTATTATTATTTTAAAAAATCGACAAATGCGTTTCAATGTCACCTGAATATAAATTTTAATAAATACACAAGCAACCAGTCATCATGAAATAGTCATACAACTACTCCTCCAGTAATTAGCCACAGTCCTGATTTTCATTTCCTTCATTATAGTTATATCTCCAGTCGTTGATTTCTGTCTCGGACTTTTATTCGTGTCACCATCAAATGCACTCACATATACAAGGCGTTTTTATCCCCTGCTCCTCCGTTAAACTTCTAAAGAAGACGCGAAATTGCTTATTTTTATTCCTGCCGCTGAGCAGCCGCCCTCGGGACAAGCTCAGGCTTATACATGACTGCAGGGTTAGCTACAACACGCGGTCCTGCTTCTACAGGTGCTTGTATACGGGGCAACTTATTTATTGGAGTTATTAACATTATTTAGTGCCACTATAAGTGGCAAGTACTAACCGCCACTAACAATTGGGCTACTGGCCACGTGTTTATGGTTACTGGCTTGTTCAGGGGCCAGTAAAGAGGGGCGGACAGTAGCTGTCACAAGACCAACTGGCGGCCGCGTGGTTGTGGTAAAGGCAACGGCTCACTGCAAATAACTTTGCGTAAGTCTTGGAGTTATACAAATAAGTGAAATTTTGCTGTGCAATCAATCTTTGGATCAACATTCATTGTAGACTGCAATGTATAATATTTTTATTTCGTTTCCAAATATTTCTAGATGTATGTTATTCATTAAAAATTGTTACTAACATGAGAAATTTTGTTTACTTCACGCAAGTGCCTTAAAAATTGTATCCTATTAATTTCTGATTTATTTTTTAAATTACGACCTTTGAATTTCATATATACGAACCATTAGCCATGTGGCCAGAATTTTAGAAGCGAATACTATTGACGATGGGTAAGGTATCCGTGAGCAAAGATTTTGACATTCAGAAAATTGCGGCAAGGCGACATTCTAACTTTTCTTTCTTCTAAGTTATATTACATTCATGTTGCGAGACTCGCTTTTTAAGAAGATTGTAACCCGTTAATGATTTTTTGATGGACTTTGGGAATGAAGCGTGAAATAGAGGTGTTGGCATGCAGAACAATAATTCCAGACTGGAATTGGCAAATAAACTGTCTTTGTTCTAACCTGTCAAATAACCTGTGCGGCCACTCAAGAAGCAATGACGGCCATGAAACGTTGGCCGTCATTAATGGCCACGTGTATAAAGTTACTGGCCGGAAAAACTGGTTAAATTTATTTGTAGCCGTTATAACAGGCAGCAACAACTGGCTCGCGTGGAAGTGTGATTTATCGGCCGTTACTGAGGAATGGAGCGAAGAAATGGCTTCGGGCTGCCTCAATATTCTGCGGGCTGCCTCACTATTCTGCGGGCTGCCTCAATATTCTGCGGGCTGCCTCAATATTCTGCGGGCTGCCTCAATATTCTGCGGGCTGCCTCAATATTTCACTCGTGCGCAACAAATGGCAAATAAATTCTAACTTTGGCATTGACTTCAAATTTCTTGGTCGTATCCTGCATACACAAAATAGGTCCTGGAGTCCATCAAAATATATAAGATATATAAGTAATATATATAAGTAAACGTCAGTGCCAATTAAATTGCCACTTCACCGATGTCGCCGGCCTCAAATAACAACGACTTATTTTCCAAAATATATTCAATCCAAATATCCTGGTAAATGTGAACAGCATAAAAATATTATGGGATAATTAAACACAATTAGTAGTTCTCACCAATAATATATTGTTTTTATTGACGAGTGGCGAGATAAGGTCAGTATCTGCTGAGTGGCGACTCCAGCGTCATTGCCAGAAGATCAAATGGACATCAAGAAACCACGAACAGGCGCTAGGATTACTCCAACCTCAAGGCTTCGAACGCTCTGAGGGTGTGATTTATGGCAAAGTATGAAAACCGGATATTATTGAGCGTGACTTTTTGTTACCTTGTTGAATAGGAACTTAATAACAGCTTAATGAGTTAAATGACGTCAGAACCTCGCAATCATCACAATAGGCTTTTGTCATCTGCTGCACGGAAATTCCTGCCAGCTGTTTTGTTCATCCGTATGGTTAAAGCTCCCATGGGTCGACTTCTTTCCGTTCACACGCCGTGTCAACCCTAATCGCGTCGGATGCAAGCAACACGCTGTTGACATGTTTGTATGACTTTGTTCAATGAATTATTCGTATATTTTTCATCCAGCACGCACCGCTATGTTTTTGCTTTGTATTCATATAGATTGTTTTATAAAATCTGTTTCTAAATGCGCAACTTATGACTGGAAACGTTCCTATAAAGAATGGATGAAACTCTGATGTTGCCACAGTTACACAACACTACCCTACTCAGTGACCGACTAAAGCGACAGCGGCTGGCGGAGGCGCGAGTTGTCCCAATAATCGGAGCGCTGCCAAGCTGTGGCCGCGGGAGCTCTCTCATTCCTATCTTAAATTTTCGTGGCGAATATTCAACTAGCGATCGACACGCGAGCCACAAAGGCTTTGCTTATGCTCGCTCGTTATAATTGCTTTTAAGTAATAAAAAATATGAGCAGGGTTGTCCAACGAAGCAGTGGTCAGCGCGAGAAAAGTAGTTGATAAATGTAAAGGAAGGATTGCAGATTGGCGTGCTGAGGCGAATGTAAAGTAGCAAAGATGCGAAACTAAGGCATGACCACCAGCTGATGTGCGGGCAGATGACACCTCACAGGTCTCGTCTGCATGACAATAATACAGAAATGACAGTATTAAAAAAACCATATCCAAAATATAACGAATATGGTGGTATCCAAGATACCTGTCTCAAAGATACTGGCAACATGGAGTTCTCAAAGGCGTTTAGACGGACACGGGACGAATTCCTTCAGAACCACCTTGAACTCTGATCATAGTTCAATGAAGTGCGCTGATAACAATTCCAACATCCAGTGGTAGGTAAATTGATAGCTGGAGACTTATCCTTAATGATGAGGGCTTCAGCTATCACCAGTCTTGTAGCGTCGGGGCACCGCATGACGATGCTGGTGCAGGCGTTGGAGCATCGCAGACGATGTAGGAGCAAACTTGAGGCATCGTATGGACAGAATGAACCGAACAGGTAATACTATCCTCTGTACTAGTTGTACTCCATAAAATTAACATTCAAATGACTTCTTCAGTAAATTTGGAAGTCGTCGGCAATAAATTTTCACATAAAAGATGGTTTCAATGTGATCAACTCGCAGCAGCAAAGGTGTTCCTCTGGTCAATGAAACGACAGATGATATTCAGTGAGTCAGTTAGCTCAATGTCTTTCATTTACACATTGAGTACTGAAGAGTTTTCACTTAAATGTTTAGCCTCAAAGTGTCGAATTAAGCTTTCTTTCCTGAAGCAAGCATGTTTGCACTTAGAACAGCGGAGAGTTTACTCAAATGTATGTTTTTGAAGAATATGATTTTTTAGCTGGCTCTTAGTCACACAAGAATATTCACACTCTGAGCAGCTAAGAGGTTTTTTAGACGAATGCTTATAAAGAACATGACTCTTCAGGCGGCTCTTAGTCACACAAGAATAGTCACACACTGAGCAGCTAAATGGTTATCTAGATGAATGATTATGAAGAACATGCCTCTTCAGTGTGCTCTTAGTCACACAAGAATATTCACATTCTGAGCAGCTAACAGGTTTTTTAGACGAATGCTTATAAAGAACATGACTCTTCAGATGGCTCTTAGTCACACACGAATATTCACACTCTGAGCAGCTAAGAGGTTTTTTAGACGAATGCTTAGAATGAACATGAATCTTTAGTTGGCTCTTAGTCACACAAGAATATTCACATTCTGAGCAACTAAGAGGTTTGTTAGAAGAATGTTTATAAAGAACATGACTCTTCAGCAGGCTCTTAGTCACACAAGAATATTCACACTCTGAGCAGCTAAGAGGTTTTGTAGACGAATGCTTAGAAAGAACATGACTCTTCATTTGGCTCTTATTCACACAAGAATATTCACACTCTGAGCAGCTAACAGGTTTTTTAGACGAATGCTTATAAAGAACATGACTCTTCAGTTGGCTCTTAGTCACACAAGAATAGTCACATACTGAGCAGCTAAATGGTTTTCTAGATGAATGATTATGAAGAACATGCCTCTTCAGTGTGCTCTTAGTCACACAAGAATATTCACATTCTGAGCAGCTAAGAGGTTTTTTAGATGAATGCTTATAAAGAACATGACTCTTCAGATGGCTCTTAGTCACACATGAATATTCACATTCTTTGCAGCGATGTGGTTTCTTAGATAAATGTTTGTAAATAATGTTGCTGGCAGGATTTTGTTCCATGAAACAAACGCATTGTGGCCCCGAACAACGATGTGTACTTTCTCGCTTATGTTTAGCAGAAATGTGTTTCAGAAGTTGAAGCTCTGAACCGCAGGAATATTCACAGTCAGAGCATGGGTACAGATGTGAGGATGCCTGCTCATCTGGATGGCGCTGCTGCATTTGGCAGGTAACCTTGGCATCAACAAAACCCCGCTGGGAATACGGGAGCCTCTCGCTGCGCTGCTGGGAGCTGGACGCTTCAGAGACGCCGCCGCTGTCACCAGCGTCTTCTGGATCTCCTGCAGGTGCGGACTGCCTCCTACCCACGTTCTGAGGGCGCATTGGCAACAAGGATTTGTTACAGGAAATACATCCAAATGAATTTAAAATTTTATTGGAACTTACCTGCAACTTTGACCAAAATCTATACAAATCTTAGCTTCCATTATTCAAAAAGTCATGGAATATAATGTAATTTTGTTGAATTGCATTTAGAAATTTTTGGTTTGTTTTTGTGTATTCATACTGTTTTGGGCTAAATTGGACATTTTATGCGTCAAAAAGGATTATTTGATAAGTACGTAATGCTTGGATTGCTTATTCTAATTAATGTTGAACTGTCACTTATAAGAACAAAGAAGAGATAAGGACAAAGAAGAGCTTGATGGCGTTTCAGAGAGAAGATGATGAAGAAACGAAGCACTTGGCGCTCGCCATGCACAGAATCTCACAATGAGCTGATACAATGCGGCTCTATAAGTTTCCAAATTCTGTGTGAAGCTTTTGCACCAGATGGTACAGCTCCATGGTTGGCTTATACACCTTACTTTTAACCAACATCTCAGTGTATGCAGAATTTACTGGTGAAGTGAAATTGGACAATAATTTTAAACAAACAAGTAACAACAGGTCACAATGAAGTAGGTTACAAGGTAGTATGATAATAGCAGGTTATTTTATTGTTAAATTAGCATATGAATATATCCATTAATTAGAACTTATATGCCTGATGATAAGTGATTGAAAAAATCAACCAAGATAATGAGGCTTTTATGTAAACCATCAAGTGATACATGAGTTTAAATTCTCAATCGTCCTAACACACAACCACCCACCACATGTCCAGGCATGGTAGAGGAGAGCGAGGCAGGACGGTGGGCTACATGTGCTTCACGAGCCTCAATTTGAGCTTCCATCTTGTCCGGCCAACCGGATGCGGGAGGTGGAGCTAGCTCATCAATATCAATAGGCTCATCCTTCACAGATATGTCCTCTTCCTCATATAGAGGCTCAATTTTGATGTTAGCTGCAACGACTTTATGGCACAGAGATGAGCCACTGGCCGCTGTTGAGGGATAGAATTGAAATAAAATTACATGAAGGCAAAACTGGTACCAAAATCTATAGACACATTGACGAAATCTACACAGTAATTCATTGTATGCACATAATTGTGAGCAATGCAGTCTTGTTAATATAATGAGAAAGTCTTATATATATGTTAACCCACAGAATATAATTTTCATCTTCATAATCATATCTCAAGTAATTGGTGCGTTTTATTTCAATTGATCCTTTTTGCTGTTGATGTGATACGGACTCCCATGTAAATCTAATTTTTTCATGATGTTAGAAATATGAAAATACACAATTTATACCACTCAAAAATCTTTTTCAGTGATGTCACTATATTTTCGTTTGTTTGTGGTAAATACCTGATGGGGGAGGTGGAGCTAGCTGGCCACCACACCCAGGGCTGGGAGGCTCACCTGAACCAGCCTGACACAACAGGTGGTCACATCAGTCACGTATACTTTGATAATATCTTAATGAATGTAAATTAGCTGTGGTGGATTTTGAACTAATAATTCAAAATTGACCTCAAAGATAAAGTGTTAAGTGTATAATATTACCTCAAACACTGGCATTTGCAATGAAACATTCGAATAGAATTTCAATTTAGTCATTCATCATCAAATGGTTCCCCCTAAAGAACCTCGATTTAAATGAAATATGAATGAATCATACACAGCATGCATAGGAATCATTTCACCTAACAAGGCTCAGGGAGCATATGCATGTCATTACGAAGTTCACTGCCAGAGACATAATCATACAAATTTTATTAGAATGCAGAATTGTGATCAAAAACCATAAACTCAGTTATTTACATAATAGCACTTAAGTGATCACAGAAAATCATAATGGATCCCAATGTCCGTTATAAAACATGATGGGCTTCACTAATTCACATACAAAACCAGCATTTGCACTGAAAATCTAAATAAAGAACACAGCACCAAGCCCCACCAACCTGTTCCTCAGGCACAGCAGCAGCGTCCTGTGAGGAACGTCGGTGGGCGTCCCGAGCTTCAACTTGAGCTTCCTCCTTGCATGGCACACAAGATGAGGAAGGTGGAGTTTGCTGGCCAAATGAAACAATCATGAACAGAGACTTCATTGACTGATTGGTATGATGACTAAATTATAAATATATCAGAATATTATCCATGCATTTAAGTAGGCTCTTTGCAAAGATAATATAAGTATTTTATGTTGTATGAGATTCACCTGCAGCCCTAGAACATAATTTTTAATCAATGCATTTCCTTTTCTTAGAGAATTTCAGTAACATATATCACAAAAAATAGGAGCACAGTTCTTCAAGCACAGGATTTCCATTGAAGTTAAAATTAACCCCAAGAAGGAAAATATTAATGTCAAAATTGGAATGATCATCAATGTAAAGATATAGAGTAATAACTTTACCTGATTTTCATCAATATCAATTGGCTCATCCTTCACAGATATGTCCTCCTCATATAGAGGCTCAAGCTTGATGTTAACGGCAACGACTTCAGTGCGCAGAGATGAGCCACTGGCCGCTGTTGCTGGATAGAATTGATATGAAATTAAATGGAGGCAAAACTAGTACCAAAAATATAAACACATTGACAAAATAAAAACAGCAATTCATTGTATGCAAATAATTGGAAGCAACACAGTCTCTGTTAATATAAATGGAAAGTCAAATATAAGTGATAGCCCACAGAATATTATTTTTATCTTCATAAATTAATCCTACCTTGGATATTGGTTCATATCTAAATGTTGAGCTTACCAGCAGACTTAATTTTGTCAACACCAGAAGGCCTTTAATTCATTGTATGCAAATAATTGGAAGCAACACAGTCTCTGTTAATATAAATGGAAAGTCAAATATAAGTGATAGCCCACAGAATATTATTTTTATCTTTATAAATTAATCCTACCTTGGATATTGGTTCATATCTAAATGTTGAGCTTACCAGCAGACTTAATTTTGTCAACACCAGAAGGCCTTAGCAGGAGGTTCAGCCCAGACCACCAGCCTCTCTCAACTGCATCATCAGAGAGTTTGTGCAGCACAACACGACATACTTTCATGTCATCCATTATGATATCCATTAGATTCTACTGGGTCCAAGTTGGAAAAGTTTAAAAATAAACAACAATTTGTTCAATAGCCAAGCAAAAGATTTTACCACAAATAAATATAAATACAGTCACATAATTGCAAAAGATTTTTGGTAAAAAAGAATACCTGAATATTGCTAGTGGGACCTCTGAGTTTTGTTGTTTTTATTTTTATATATGTATGATAAGAAACAAAGTTGATTTATATGGAAGTCCCCAATTTGTTAAAATCCCTATCACATCGACAGCAAGTTAAAATCCCTATCACATCAACAGCAAGTATCAATTGAATTCAAACACGGCTTGGAAAAATTCTAAATAAAGGAATACAACAAGCATTGCCCAAACCATTGTTTATACTGCTTCTAAATGGCATTGTTGCTGTGTGTCTCTCTAGTAGGCGAGACAAACACATTGAATACTTTAGGTTTCTAGGTGGCAACAACCTATAAAATTGCTCATTTATTACTGTCAATATAAATGGAGTGCAGGATACAGTTCTATTCAATAGGAAAAGGTTAAAATGTTAAAGGTTAAATGGGTTAATGGTGAGCAAGGAGTGTTGTGCCAAGTGAACAGAGAATGTATTGACTGTAAGGAGTGTTAACAAACATTAAGGATAATGGTGTTCATGTATACATTCTTGGCGCCTGAGTTATTAAGACCATGGGTTAAAAATAAAAAGGAGTGTAAGAAGCACAAACGAAGAGTTTATATTGGGAACATTGACAAGATGCATATGGGATATGTCATGAAGGAAAATAAAAATTATTAGTTATAAGCTATAACTTGCTTAAATAAAAAATTGATTAGGCCTTGGGCATGTGGCCATGACTTCAAGAAATGGATTTCAAAGTAATGCAAGCTTTGGATTATCAAGTAAAAAGAAAAGCAGAGCAATAGTCAATAACCTCATTTGTGACACCTTAAAAGCGCTATATAATGAATACAGATGTTATAGGATGCACTCTTGATGATATTATAGGTGACTTAATGTGACTGAGAATGTTTGCTGCGTCAGGGTTTTCAAACCAGTGATTTGCCTGATGGTCTTCACCTCCCCTACAGCCATCCTAAACAACCACTCTGTAAAACTTTTGTATTTTTGCAAATTTCATTTATTTACTCAACCCTCTACCGCCCTGTGTCACTCTCCGGGAACATACAATTATACATAAATTATTGAGTGTAGCAACCCGAAAACGTTTGTACTCAATAAGATTTGAAAGTTAATGTATGCGGCGGCAACTATTAGTGTAAGTCATTTTGCACTCACTAGAACGTATCCTTTTTGGGAGGGCTTGTGTGACAATATTGCTCCAGTTACTCATGTCAGATGGTAGAGGGTTAAGTGAGGAATAATTACAATTTACTAAAGTAACAGCATGTACAAATGGAGAACAGAGACCAGGGACAAAACCAAAGCACAGGAGTCTAACATTACCTCTAGTTATTCATTCAATATTTTCCTGTTTCATCCCACTCTGGAAAAGTCACAGATTGGAAAGAAATGTGATTAGCCTAACTAGTACACTTCATCAATATTTAAGCATCCTTTCCCTACTTAATATAGGGTAGTTAGCAATAGTCATCAGAAACAAATGCAATAGTTCATGTTTACTAAATCAAATTGCACTTCAGGAATTGGGGGTTTGCAAATACCCCTTAACAGGAAACTCCTGCTTCCTTGCCTAGTTTATGGAAATTTGTCTCCCCACAACACAAACAACCAAGATACTGCTATGGTATCAAAACAGCTCAGTGAACATTTAATGAGCACTAAAGATGAAGCTAGTAGATTTAAGCACACTAATCACAATCAAATAAAAGTAAGAATAAATGGAGTTAAACCTAACATAAACTTGCAGATTACATATATATATATAAGTGAAATAGGTAACATGCTTTTTAAACCCCCAACATGAATTTTGTAACTGGATAAATAAGCCAAGGACACTCAATACCGTCAAATGGGGTAATATGGGATAGTTTGAGCATTTTTTTTTTTTTGTTTATAACTTCTTACCATAAACATTTCATAGATAAGTTTGGGCTTATTTTAAAGGCCTTTGCAAGGGTTATGATATGTCATCTCCGAAAAAATTCCATATGCTATTCATAAGGTGCCAGATGCAAAATATAGGCATCCAAATTACCCCTGGAAATGGGTTATTCTGGGACACCTGAAATAAAACTAAATTTTAAAATGTTTGGAGCATGTAGAGTGTACTCATCCATTACAAACAGTACTCTGAAGTCCTCCTCTTCTTTTGCAGATAATGTAGATGTAGAATAAATGACATTTTCTGTGATTTTCCCTTTTTCTCCTATATTGATATGATATTACCATAGTCATACATTACCATATTATTGATGTGATATTACCATATCCATGGACATGCCAATGAGCATTGATAATGACCTTGTCCACTGCAATCTTCGTATCAGCAGCCATATAGCATTTCTTCTGTATCTGTAAGCTTCAGGACAGCTTGTAATTTTGCACCATTTTAATTGGGTCAAGTTAATTAACTATACCAATAATATGCGTTTAAAAATTTCTTTTTAAATACAACACTTCTGAAGAATCCTGTGTCTTGGATGTTAGACATGTACAAAGAATTTCTAAATTTAATTTCAAATATTAAAAAAATTATTTTTCAAAATTTTTGTATGATATAAAAATTTTGTAAATTTTCAAAATTATTTATTCTGTCAACTGATTCATGCATTGTCTCTGACTTTATGCAATTGTGCAAAATTTAAGATCGATTGGACAGGTCAAATTGTGTCATATATGGATTTTAAGATTTGTAGGAGATGAAATTATTTTTACATTTTCTTAATATTGAAAAAAAATGTTAATTTATAAAATTATTTATTCTGTCAATTGATTCGTGCATTGTCTATAACTTTATGCATGTGTGCAAAATTTCAGATCGATTGGACAGGTAGAAGTGTATCAAATATCAATAATAACATTTGTAGCTGACAAAATTATTTTAAATTTTTTTGCAATAATGAAAAAAAAAATTTAATTTCAAAATCAATTATTCTATCAATTGATTCATGCATTGTCTCCAACTTTATGCAAGTGTGCCAAATTTCAGATCGATTGGACAGGCAGAAATGTGTTAAATATCAATTTGTAGCAGACAGACAGACAGACAGACAAGACATACAAACAAGAAGTGAAATTAAAGAGATGTGTTATAAAAATAGATTGTAAAAAACATACCTGAAACAGAAATGAATATTTTAGAGACAACCGTTATAATTTTTGGAGAAATAAATCATAGTTTAGTTTAATTACTTTTCATCCTACGCTGCATGGTGCAGAATTCTGTCTATGACAATCTATGAAATATTTTGTGATGAACGACGATGCATTAATATTTTGTTAGGCAAAATGTTTTTGCTGAGTGAGGTAAATGTTATCAAAATTCTTGCTCATTTCTTGACTTTTTTTGCAAACTGTAGCCTTTGTTAATTGAGGTTCTACTGTAAATGCATTTTCAAATTTGTCCCTTATTACCCTGGAGGGGTCCCTTATTAAACCATCTTACGGAAAGGGCCGCCATTTTGGGGGGGGGGGATGAGCTATGCTAATTTCATAAATCTTGTTTTAAAGCCAACATCTGTGTGCAACTTTTATGAGAGTAAAATTTTTTAATATGGCAAATATTTTTTTCTTGCTACAGACTTTAGCAGATGTTCTTTTCCAAAATCTCACTTTTCACACTTTTTTCAGGGATTTTTTAGAGGTAGTAAATATATGATTTCTTTACTTGCTTTATGCTAGATAGATAGTAAAACTAATTAAATTTAGCCACTATTTTTAGTTTTGCAATATTTTTATTAGTTTTGCTGCTAAACATTTGTGCAAAATGTGGGACGACTGTCCTGATTTACCCCGCCCGTAGCTTATTACCCCGTTTGACTGTATTGCTGAGAGGCATTATTGCTGTTTTTCAATGCAAGGCTATAACTAATTTGCTGCCATGATAGCAGTTTTGTTCCAAGTTCCACTCAGGAATACTGATTGACAATTGAAGCTTTTCCTGAAATTTAACTGTGATCCAGTTATTTATTAATTTTCACAGCTTCATTCATCATTGGATTACTTGCCTTTATTACTTTATTATAACTAATATTGATTAGATGAGTTTACCTTCCCAAAGTCTATAGACTGATGATTATGTGGTACTTGTCTTAATGACTGCACTAGCTTCATTGTGTAAATCCTAATCTTGATGTTTTCATGTGTAATCCATTATAATTTTTTATTACAGGTTTCCACACATCTTTGCTGCTAGATTAAATTATCAGTAACTAATTTTCATGATTGTAAGGATGTAAAATTAGGGACATAAAACGAGTTCTAGAAGGCGCTGAATGCAAGGCAACAACAGTAGGGAAAGACTACGGCATGTCAGTTTGAAGCCAGAAGTCATACTGTTAGCAACCAATGTAACAGCATTGTCAACTTGCTGTAGCACATCTTAGTGACTTTAGTATAGCTGACAAGAACTGTGTTTATTGGGTTGCTGAGCTGAGGAGTCAGTAATCTTCGGGACTGTGGAGAGCAAGGGTTGAAAGTTGAGTTTGAAGATCCTGTCTGGGGCATTCCCGGATCAAGGCGTCCTGATCTCGTATTGATATGGTAAGCCACTTCCCGTAAGCCACTTCCCGTAATTTGTATCTATAATGCCAAGTGAATGTATTTAGGGTGTTCTTCCGATAAATGTACTTTTGTTTTAATGCATAACTGCTCCATTTAGTCCTGTTTGAATTAATGCTTGTTGATTAATAGGAGTGTTTTAAGGAGAGTACCTAACAATTGTTAGAAATGAACCCAAGGAAGCAACCAGTTTCATCACAATGATTATGATGATAGTACATTGTCTCAGTTTTAGAATGAATCTTCAAGCTAACTTTAATTTTGGCATGATAGATTATACTCCCAGCCTTGCATACAAGTTTAATAATGTTATTAGCAGCATCGTTCATTCTCATTTTTATTTCTATCAGCAATTATTATGCACCATTGCCATCCTGTGCTCTCTATACCAAATTATTCA